CATTTGCATGTTTCAGATACACTGTCTTATTTTTAGAAAACTTTTTGTTAAACAATAGCATATATATGAGAAGTCCATAAATCTTTGTAGCTCAGTGATAAATGGAACAATAAATAAAGGTTTAGTCAGCACCCTAGAAGTCTCCCTCAAACCACTTTGTAATGATCACAGACCCTATCAGAGTAACTACTATCCTAATTTCTAACACCATTGATTCATTTAGCCTGTTTGAAATGTGTATAGATGGAATCATATAATGTGTGCTCTTTGGTGTATGGTTTCTTTGACTATAATATCTGGGAGTCTCATATACTTACATGTTGCAATTCATTTTTCATTGTGATGCAGTATTGTGTTGGGTGACAACCATAATTTATCCTTTTTTGGTTGATGAGCTTTTGGGTTGTAACCTAATTTTTGGATATTATAAATAGTGCTATGAACATTCTTAAACTGTGTTTTGATGATCATAGCTATACCTATCTAGTGGGAATAGTGCTCTTGGGCATAGGGTGTGCATATGTGTAGTTTTACCACGCCAACAGTTTTCCAAAGTGGTTGAAACTGTATCACACTCCCACCAGCAGTGTCTGGTTAATTTTTTAAAAATAACTTCATAAAAGTGAAATTTGAATTAAAGAATAAATTTATTTTGAGTTTTGGAACACAGTGCTAAACTTATCCTTAGGAATACAAATTTATACTCCACTGAACACTAAGTTTTCATCAGCTCTTTCATCTTTATCAATTTATAGTGAAAAATGTTTTATTTTTAAACTAATGAGTTTATTTATTTATTTATTTAAGATTTTATTTATTTATCCATGAGAGACACACAGAGAGAGGCAGAGAGAGAGAAAGGCAGAGACACAGGCAGAGGGAGAAGCAGGCTCCATGCAAGGAGCCCGATGTGGGACTCGATCCCTGGACTCCAGGACCATGCCCTGGGCTGAAGGCAGCACTAAACCACTGAGCCACCCGGGTGTCCCTGAGTTGAACTTTTTAAAGCTTAATTTAGCCCATTCAGTTTTCTTGGCTGTTCTGGTCTTTGTCAAGGTGTTTTTTATTTTTCTTTTTTCTTTTTTTTGAGGGGAGGGAGAGAAAAAGAATCTTAAGCAGACTTCATGCCCAGTGCAGAGCCTGACTCAGGGCTCCATCTCACAACCCTGAGATTATGACCTGAGGTGAAGAGTTGGACACTTAACTGAGTCACCCAAGTGCCCCTCTAATTTTTCTTACTGCCTTTTTTTTTTTTTTTTTAAGATTTTTTTTATTCAAGAGAGACACAGAGAAAGACAGAGATACAGGTAGAGGGAAAAGCAGGCTCCATGCAGGGAGCCCAGGGTGGGACTCATCCCCCCGGATCATGCCCTGAGCTGAAGGCAGACGCTCAACCACTGAGTCACCCAGGTGTCCCTCTTACTGCTTTGTAATAACCTTTTATATTTTAATTCACATTTTTTGGTCGTATGCTATAATTTTTTCTTCCTAGTTCTTTGTTTTAATTTTGTCTTTTACAATATAAAAGTTTCAAATATGTGTGTACACTTATATCTGCTAATCTTTTCCTCTCTGGTTTCTGGCTTCAGTGTTACTCTAAGGAAAGCCTTTTTACCCCAAGATTATCTTTTAAAAAGTCTGTTTTGGGGATCCCTGGGTGGCGCAGCGGTTTGGCGCCTGCCTTTGGCCCAGGGCGCGATCCTGGAGACCCGGGATCGAATCCCACATCGGGCTTCTGGTGCATGGAGCCTGCTTCTCCCTCTGCCTGTGTCTCTGCCTCTCTCTCTCTCTCTCTCTCTCTCTCTCTCTCTCTGTGACTACCATAAATAAATAAAAATTAAAAAAAAAATAAAAAATAATAAGTTTTCTTGAAAGGCTTTATTGTTCATACTTAATTTTGTTTATTGTAACTAGATTTAACTTCTAACTCAAGGTGTTTTTTTTGTTTGTTTTAAAACAATTTTAATCTGTTGTACTTCTATACATTTTTTAAAATTTTATTTATTTGAAAGGGGGGGTAGAAAGAGAAAGAGAGCATACAGGGGGAAAGTAAGAGGGAGAAGCAGACTCCCAATTGAACAGAGAGCCCAATCTGAGGCTCTATCCCAGGACCCTGGGCTGAAGACAGACATTTAACTGACTGAGCCACCCAGGTGCCCCTGTTACACTTTTATCTGTTACATTAGCATTACCTTTGGAATATTTTGCTGGGTGTCAGAGGGTGACAGGTCAGGAAGAATTTAGTACACCAAAGTATTTATGTATGTGTCATTTGACCAAGTGAGAAATGAAGCTCATTTTCCAATGTAGTTACTATATGAATCCTTTCAGTGTGCATGCTATTAAAACAGTTTTCATTTAGAAAAGAATGACACCTTCATTTACAAATGAGTCTGCCCTCTGAGCTGCCTATTTGAGTCCATTGGTCAATATGCCTATCCCTGAGCCAATATACTATATGGTCCTCATTATTATGGTTTTAATTCTTGATGTTTAGTAGTTTCTCATCTTAATCTTTTTCTATATGAATGTTTGGACATACTTGGGTATTTGCTCTTTTAAATAAATTTTTATCAGCATGTGAAACTTAGGATTTCCCATGACATGTCATTGAGTCTAAGTAATCTAAGAGATAAGAGATACCTGTGTGATACTGAGTTTTCTATCCATGAAAAGTGTTTTCTCCACTTATTGGTGTCTTTCTGTAGAATTAAGTAATGTTTACAAGTCACATGGTTGTCACATATCCTTAGTTTAGAAGGGACATTTTCTGTTAATAACATTAATGACATGTTTTTAAAGTGTATGTTTTTTCTGGAGCACCTGGGTGGCTCAGTAGGTTAAGAATCTGTTGGTTTTGGCTCAGGTCATGATCTCAGGGGCTTGAGATCAAGCCCTACCCACATCAAGCTCTGTGCTCAGATATGGGGTGGGCTTGAGATTCTTTCCCTTTTACTCTCCCTCCATCCCCTGCCTGCTCATGCATGTGCGCTCGCTCTCTCTCAAATAAATAAAGTCTTTTTTAAATATAAAAAGACATAAAAATCTTTTTAAATATAAAAAGATTTTATTTATTTGAGAGAGGGGGGGATCCCTGGGTGGCGCAGCGGTTTGGTGCCTGCCTTTGGCCCAGGGCGTGATCCTGGAGACCCGGGATCGAGTCCCACGTCGGGCTTCCGGTGCATGGAGCCTGCTTCTCCCTCTGCCTGTGTCTCTGCCTCTCTCTCTCTCTCTATCATAAATAAATTAATAAAAAAAATTTATTTGAGAGAGATAGAAGTGAGACACAGGCAGAGGGAAAAAAAGGCTCCACGCAGGGAGCCCGACGTGAGACTCAGTCCCGGGTCTCCAGGATTACACCCTGGACCGAAGGCAGGCGCTAGACCGCTGAGCCACCCAGGATCCCCTAAAAATATATTTATTTATTTATTTTTTTAAAAATTTTTATTTATTTATGATAGTCACACAGAGAGAGAGAGAGAGAGAGAGAGGCAGAGACACAGGCAGAGGGAGAAGCAGGCTCCATGCACCGGGAGCCTGACGTGGGACTTGATCCCAGGTCTCCAGGATCGCGCCCTGGGCCAAAGGCAGGCGCCAAACCGCTGCGCCACCCAGGGATCCCTAAAAATATTTTTAAAAACGGAAAAGAATGGGGTCTAATTAGCATAGACTAAATGGTCTTCTTAAATACCTGTAATGGAGAGTGTTCAAGGTTCTTGAGTAAGGATTTTGCCAAAAATACACCTAGCCTCTGTTCTGTGGCCTATAGAACAGATAGGAGAGCCAAATATGTAATTTCAAATCTTTAAAAATACTATTTTTCTCTGTGTAAGAGAAAAATTTTTAATTTCTTCGGCTTTTTCTTTGGCATAATAGTATTTGTAATTAAACTGCAATTTGCACTGCTGGTGGAGAAAGGTGAGATGAGTTTATCATATCTGGTAGTTTGTGGTTTTCTTGTTCTTTAATTTCATTGTGAGATTTGAGCCCCCACGCCGCCCCGCCCAAGGCCCAGCACCTAAAGTTCCTGAGTCATTATTTGTTTAGACCACAAAGAAGAAACATAAAACAGGTACCTATTAGACCAGTAGCCCTGTTCTCTATTGATAAGGGTTGTTTTGTTTTTTTACAGATGAATCTTAGTGTCTTAAAAGTATTTAAGAGTCTCAGGGACAGATAAGTTTTTGAGGAAGAGAGCACAGAATTTACTCCTGTGATTAGAGCCTCAGAACACACCAGAAACAAGAGGCCAATGTAAATGGGGGGAGAAAGATTTGGAAGGGAGGGAAAGAGTAGGTGAAAATAAATACTACAGACAAGATTTAATTTTTTTTCCCCCTGGTCTCGCATTTAACAGTACTTGTAGCAAGGTGGTATCTAAATTATTTGATTATTGTCTAAGCCAGGAGGAAAATAGGTGGGGACTTTGCTTAAGTAAATCCATAATTTTAGGAGCATAGCATTTCTAGTTTAGGAGAATCAGTATTTTACTAAATTTTTGAATTTGACTAAAGGGAATAATGGAGTTTATGTTAAAGGTTCCCTGGGGGTTGATAGGGGAGAAAAGAATACAGAGGGGAGAAAAATGAAAACTAAGTGCCTGTCTTTCATTTACATTATCTATCTACAAAATGCAGTTTACATGTTTTGCATACTTAACCCATTTAATCCTCACAGAAACCTTATGAAGTGGTATTTCCTGATTGACAAAGATAACAAAGGCTTGGGGAGTGAGCTTACATTATGTTGTGTGGGTTTACAAACCCACTACGAGGCAGTCTTAGGATTTGAATACCAGTGTCTGAATCTAAAGGTCATTGGCATACTTTTCACAAGAGTATATGTTTCCTTCTAAATGACCAGAGTGACTATGTATATTTGATTTTATCAGTTTCATATCAAATGTTGATACCACTTTACATAGCATATCTTGGGGATATCATCTTTAGTTCTTCCAGGTAATATAAAGCCTGTGTACTTTCCTTTACCTTCCACCTTAGCATTGAGAGTAAGCATGAGGTTACGATCCTGGGAGGACTCAATGAATTTGTAGTCAAGTTTTATGGACCACAAGGAAGTAAGTACATGTGTTCATATGTGTTCTTCTTTTTCAGTTTCTTTTTTTCCTCTACTCCTTAGTAGGTAGTGAGAGTATCAGTGACAGGTGGAGGTGTGTGTAGTATTTGAACAGTAAGTTTATTGGAACTCTAGAACCAGTGAGGAAATCTTGCTCTTACCATAATTACTTTATATGCTTTTCTCTTTCATCTCTGGAAGTATTAAACACAAATTGTGAGTACTGTTTTTTTTTTTTTTTTTTTTTTTTAATAATGATTAGCCACATGGGTGGTTTTGGGGGAATGTTTTTTGTGTTTTCCTATTTGTTTTTTTTTTTTTTTTTGATGGGGAGGAGTCAACAGGGTAGATTGAAATAGGCTATTACTTACCAACTAGTTCAGTAGTGTTTAATACTTTAAAAATCAAGTAAACTTAGAGGAGAAATGAATCTTTGCTTATTTTCTAACTCTAGATCTTTTTAAGAAAATTATTTTAATTTAAACACAGAATATACCTCCCTGACTCTTGAAAGAATTAATTTGCAAGGTTTTCAAAAGAGATTAGGATTTAATGTTTCACTTACACTCGAGTTTATTTTTTAATGTGGAGACCCTTGTAATGTTTAACATTTTTACTTTTATTTCAGCACCATATGAAGGCGGAGTATGGAAAGTTAGAGTGGATCTTCCTGATAAATACCCTTTCAAATCTCCATCTATAGGTATGTAACTACTCAGTTTCTCTTACTAGAGAGTTTTCATATCAGAGAAAAGGAAAAAAGAATCCTATATTTTGTGGGAGATAATTCCAAAAATGGTTACTTAACTGAATTTTTCCTTTTTGGGCTTTGCTTAATTAATCAGTGACTTTTTTGTGGGATTTCACAGTGTGATAGAAGATGATTGAATATACCCTTTGCATGATTGTAATGATTCTAACTCTAGACTTTTCTATCAGGATCAGATTAAACAATCTTAAGGCCCACTGTCCATTCAGGCTAAGCAGTAAAATAATAAACATCTTAAATCTCATTTTAATTACAGGATGGTTGGAATTAATTTTACATAGTGTTTATTTCTAATTCTGTCATTTAAGATGCTCTCTAGATCCTCCTTTGCTTTTGTTCACTTAAACTGTAGTTCCCACTTAAACTAGCAGTGAAATCACCCTTTGCCTTTCTACTCATCTTTTTAGCCCCCTGAACAGATGAAGAAAGTAGAGTAGGAGCCTCAGTGAGATTGTATAAAGAGGTACTTTTTCTTCCCTGTCATCTTCTCTCTGCCCTAGTTGGTGATATTATTAACCCATCACCCCCATTAAGGCACACAATGACAATTTAGGTGTTTTACCATCAGACTCTACAGAAGTATATCTGATTGAAGGTTGATATATTTTTTAAAGATTTTGAGATCGTGGAATGGTAGTAACTCAGCTAAGCTAAGCTAGTTTTTAAAATTTTCATTCTAAAGATAATTTTGAAATATTATAAAGTATTAACCAACTTTAAGAAAGAAGAAAAAATAAAACTGAAATATATTATGCATTCTCTGACAGTCACACTGAACCTCATGTTCAGAATTACCAGGGTTCATACAACTTGCTACTGCTATGGGCTCACTTTTTTTATGCTCATCTTTGGAACTAATTCCAGGTCACTTGGAATTTAGACCTCACACACCCCACCCACCTTCCAACAACACCCTCTATCCTAGGATAATGTGGGAAAGGTAGGATCATCATAGACTAATTTTCAATCAAGACTAATTTTCAATCAAATGTAGCAGCTTCTTCCCCACTACTTAGCTATATACCCTACTGCTTTCAAGCTTGGTGCTATTTAAAAATAATACAGAGCACTTGTGATTCCTTATGCTGGGAACCCTTATCGTTCATTTAGGAATAAATTGGTGGTTTCCTTTTAAGGTCCCTTGAATGGTTTTTCTAAGTTTCAAAAATGGAGAAGATACTTTATGAATGATTGAAATTTCCCCCTTGCTGCAAGGGTCTCTGAGTTGTAGGGTTATCAGGTGGTGAACTAGGAAGGAAGGGAGCTGTAAGATAATCCCTATGACTTACTACTACCTGTATAGATGAGGTGGCAGTCCTTCCCAATTCATTCCAGGGTAATGGGATTTGGTGTTACTTACCCAGTCAGGTGGGCTTTTCCTTCACGTTGTGGTCACCTCTCCCATTGGTCTCGTCTTTCTATACAGGCATTTGAACCTTTGTGTAGTTAAGTGATAGGATCTTTAAATCCTTACAAATGGAATGTATAAGCCATATAAATTCTTTCAAATATATTTCATATATGTCCATTTGCTTAAAGACTAAAAATTGGCATGCTGAATCTAGTTTTGAGCCCTAAATTCCTAGTCAGAAAGAATAGCTACTTAACAGTGAACTATAGAAAAGCAATTGCATATCCTGTAGAAATGCAGTTATTTCTCAAACCTTATCTTAATGTATTTTTCCAGATAATGTAATTATTTCATCATAACTTTTAAAGTAAACACGTCTAAACTTCAGGCATTATTTATTTATTAACCAATGACACAATGCCTATGTACTTTCTTAAATTAATGATGTAATATGAAATTGCTTGGGACAAATGACTAGGCTGATTTAACTTCTTCATAATTTTTTTTTTTTTTTTTTTTTTTTTTTTTTTTTTACCTTTCTGTGTGCTTTCAGAACTTGGTAATACCTACAGATGTGTACCATCTTCTCTTAGGGAAGTAGATCTAGTTGAAATATTTGTACAAGCTGTGCTTGTTTCCTCCAAAGGAACATTGCATAAGAGAGTTATAATCAGTTGTTGGGGGTGACCCATTTTCAGGTCATCAACAATGTAATTACTGTTGAATTTGCTTTAAACATTTTGAGAGGTAGTGGCTCATTTAGAATAGGCAAAGTTTGCTTTTTGAGTTGTATAGGTAGGTGTAGAATTATATAGAAGGGCAAAGAGATGAGATAAACCCAACCTTAAGATTCTTTTTAAATCCTGCCTCTGTAGTATCTAGGCATACTCTTCTTCCTGAGCCAAATTTTGAGCTCTTAAATAGTAAGATGTGCAAATTTAGATTAAGCATCCTTACTGCTTAGATCTTGGAAATATATATATTAAATATATAATATACATACACATTATGTAAACATTTGTTTGCTGTTTACTTATTGTATAAATGGTCCATATTCTTAGGAATTTAAGGAGGTCCAGGTGACCAAAAATAAAGAAAAATTTAAAATGTCTCCTAATCCTGTCCCTCAATGGATATCATTATTTACATTCCAGTATATGTACTTTAAAGCAATGTTCTTTTTATATTTCAGTATTTAATCAATGTAATTGGACATGCTTATCTTTTGGACTTTCCTCTAGGTTTTATAGTTTTCAGTAGTTACCCTATTGCCTGAGTTATAATTTAAAATGTCCTTTAAAAACAATTTATATTATCATACAAGTGTTTTGTTTTTTCTCAAGATAGCGAGAAAGCTATCTTGAATTCTCTTTGGGAAAAAAAGGAACATAAACAGACTATTTACATAAGGAATATAAAGAGGTTATGAACTTTCTAAATGCCATCGTTTCAAGCATGTTAAGCTGATCTTTTGGAATGTTACATTCTTTTTGAGTATCATTAGTGTTGATGTTTATGAAATCATCTTGATACTTTGAAGCTGGATGTAAATTTTTGAAATGGCTAAAGGTCATTTAATTTCACAGAATAAGATGAATGGAAAAACTGAGTGACATAGTTGGAGTGTAAAATGATATATGATTATGAAATTGGCTTAAATTTAAGGATTATGATTTTGTCATGAACTAGCCATAATAGCACTTTGAAAGAGAAATTATAAAACTCCTCTCATCAATTGTAACATCATTGAAATATTTGCATAGCTTTCCAGGGAGACTGCTTTGAAATAAATCATATGTAAATCTTTAAGTTCTGATTTATTTGAAAGTTCAGACTTTATCTTTTTCATTCAGAAACATTCCTAGAATGCTAGTATTGTTGGTGTTACCAGCTGTGTAGAGTTAGGAGAGCATGCTTCATCAGTGTACTGGTTATCAGGAAAGAGTACTTCTCACTCTGGTTTTCCTTGACCATGAGAATGATACTCATCTGACCCGTTGTTTCCTTTTCTAGAAAGTGAGATATTAGAATTAAGTGAACTCTGCATGTTTGATACTGACCAGTGTATTAGATCCTCAAGATAGATGACACATCTATTAGGTAATTAGGAAGGTCACATAAGGCTCTCAGTAGTTAGGAGATAAGACCAATGTAAATAAAATATTGCATGGTATTTAGTGACAACATTTCATGGATTTTTAGGAGAGGTGTGAGTTAGTGCCTCAGTTGGGAAAAAGAGTGTATGGAAGGAGATAGGCTTTTACGAGAAAGATGTTTCATGTGTTGAGAATATAGTTTTTGGAAAGCTTCAGAGATGTGAAAGTGCATAAAGACTTTAGATAGAAGTAGCATTCTTTCAAAACCCCAAGTAATCCGCAGTCCATGAAGATTTTGTTTTATGCAGAGAAGTTGCTGTGGAGACTGCCGTATGCCATACTTCTCCAGGTTTAGTTTCCAGCATGTGCTTATCTATTACGAGAATGCTGTTAGAAAGAGAAAACACAGACTTGCAGTTGCTGTGGGGTTGAAATAAAGATGATTGATACACAAAGAGGGTAAAATAGAGCAGTTTTGAATAAAAATTTAAAAGTAACCCATAAGCATAAGATAGAAAATGTTTTTATGTCTATTCCAAAGAATGCATATTTTTAAAAGTGGGAGATATAGGACTTGTCAGATTGGCAGGTATGATGTAGCCAACATAGCAGTATATGTGGTTTGATGAAGATTTTATATCCTTTGAGTGCTTTTATTTAAATTATCTTAAGATTCAGAGAGATGCACTAAGATTAATGTACAAGAGTATGCATATTGCAGTGTTATTCTTAAAACTTTTATTTTTAAAAGTTTGAAGCACCCTAAGTGACCCAGCAGATAATAGTTAAATTATGGTATAGCTTAATGGACAAAATGTTTTACAGTCACTACTTATGTTTTAACCCCATCTTTAAAAGAACCCACAGGAAAATGGTAACCTTCGATAGTGTGACTTGTATTTTGTTTCCTTGAAATTTCAAGTATGAATGGCAGAATATCGATACACTTATCCGTGGCCGTTAAGGGGATTATAAAAACATTTTTCTATGATTTCTAAATACTCTACCATAAGTTCCTTTATATTATAAAAGTATATATTTTTAAACATATGGCAAATGCGTGTCTTTTGAATGTCCTGTCTGCATCTTTGTCTGGGTCTACACTTTTCCTGTCCTTTGTTCTAGAAAGCCACGAAGCTTTCCTTGGCCATAGTTCTCCTTGGCCAGAGTTCTCACCTGGTAGCATGCTAAAACACCTGCCGGCCCTTATGTTCCCCACAGTTTCCTTTCTTTTTCCCTTTCAGTTTTAATGATGTATGTGCAGAAGGGCACAGACTGTTCTCTTTCCTTTGTTTTTCTGCTTGCAATTTAGTTTATTCCATTGTGAGCCCACCCCTTACACCTTTACACATAACTGCTGTTCACCCCTTTGTCCCTCCTCTTGGGATGCTACCTCCTGCAGTTCTTACCTGTTTCTCTTTTCAGCCTGACTCTTCCACCTGTATTTCCTCTTCATTTTTCTCTTCATATGAACCAAAAAAGGTCCC